GAGAGGGAAGAATCCTTGTCTAAGCTCGACAGCAGGGACAGCAACCCGCAGCCAGCCCCCCAGCCCCGAGAGGCGAGAGAAGCAGCTACCATGCTTGCGCCGTAAGCAAGAGAGGACTGCCTAGCAACACAGAACACCCGCGTGGAACAGTGGGGAAGGAAAACAGAAACCAGAGTGGAAGCACAGCCAGGGCGCCGGACACGGGGGGTGGTTCTCATACGGGGGCTCCTCTCGGCGGGCCCTGAAACCTCAGGAAGGCTAAACAGCAGGAAAGGGACCACAGGCGGGAAAGGCCCAGGGCAGCCGAGCGGTGGGGCACCCCGTCGACTGCTCCCCGAGCGGCCGTCAGAGCCAGGGGCTGGAGGGTTCTCAGGAAGAGGTCCGCCCGGCCTTCGCCCAGGGAGGGTCACCTTGAACAGCTGGCAGGCCGCGGCTGCAGCCTGCCGCTCGGCGTCGATCTTCTTGCTGCCATAGCCTTCCACCTCCACGCTCTTGGGCCACTTTATGTGGAGGGTGACTTTCTGGGGAAGAGAGGAGAGGATCAGGACCCCTGCCGCTCTGCGCGGCAGAGCTGCCGCAACCACAGGGGGAATCGGAGCACAGCCGCGGGCCTCCTGGTGGCAGGGCTGAGCGAGGGCAGAGCCCGCCCACCGCCCAGCGTTGCCGCCACGGACGCCCTCTCTCCCCCACCCCCGGGCCCTTCGTCCCCCCTCCAGTTGCTCTGCTTCTTCAAAGTGCCGTGTTCTAGCCAGAGGGCACGGTGGGGCCCATCTCTGACATTACAAGTCTCCGTTCAGGATGGTTTGCCTGCACGCATCAGTGGGGCCCAGGGCCCACAAGGCTCCAGAAGCAGGGTTCCATCATCAGCCCCAGCCCTCCGCGGTCCCGGTGGGCCGACAGGGGGCCAGACCAGTGCTGGGGTGAGGCCTATGCTGCATGGGAGCGTGCCTCACCTCGCCTCCCCGTGCTCCCATCCTTAACCCAGGTGCCTCCTCAGATCCAGCTTTGCCCTGACAGCGTCTCCTCTGACAGTTTTCACCCCAGAAATGGCCTCTTTGCCAAAGAAATCTGAGGGCGAAACGGGCACCCGGCCTCCGCTCCGAGAGTCAGACCGACACCCCCACCTCCGGCAAGGTACCTTTTTCTTCGGTCCGTTCGTGTGCACGTAGACCAGCTTGTCTTTTGCGTGTGAGATGCCCAGGGCTCTTCCAATCACACTGTTGAGGAGGTTTTTGGGCTGTGGGAATTCTTTTAATAGGTCCCTAGAAGCTAAGAAAATAAGAACAAAAGTATTACAGCTGTTCTTTCTCTTTAAAAAACAACAACAACAACAACAACAACTACTCCATGGCGTGTGTGTGTCAGGGCAACTCTGGGCTGGACACCCAGGATGTGGGCTCACGACCCCAACCACCCAGGAGCCTCTCAGAAAAGGAGAAATGGCTTCAGGGTTTGCAATGGGAAGGGGATGGGGCTAGACCTGCCTGCATGGCCCTGTCCCTAAGGGGAAGGGCCAATGACCTACACACCACAGTGGGGAACCAGCCGGCATCCTCTTCCCACCCAAGCTCCTGATTGAATATATCAGCCACAGGAGCCTAGATGGCAACAAACCTCTATTCTGATGTCTGGAAGAAGGCACGCAACAAAACCACGAAGCAAAAATCCACCACACACGCAAAGTGGAGATGGAGACGATGGCAGGCCCCGCCTCCAATAGAGAGGAAGACTGGCCTCAGTCTGAGGCTGAACCCCAGGCCCCAGCTCTCCTGTACCCCGGCCCCCTGCAGAAGGCCCACCTACAGCCAGATGACGTGTGTAGGGACGCTGAGCAGACACCTCTGGAGCCGAGACAAAGGCGTGGGCTGCCCCTTCCCCGCATTCACCGGAGAAGTTGGAGGCAGGAGGCATCAGACACTGAGAGGCACCTCACTTTTTTTTTCACTTGGATGAACCCAAGAGCACAGAGAGAGGAGTGAGCTGTGCATCTAGAGGCAGCCGGTGCCCGACACAGGGCTGAGCCAGGCCACGAAGAAAGCCAGTGGGAGTGGCTAACAGTCGAAGAGCTCCAAAGCGTGAGAGTAGCCGGTCCAGACACCCAGGGTCAGAGGCTGGCAGTGGAGACAGGAAGCCGTGCCGTTCTCCACCCACAGTCTCTGGCGTTATACTGAACTCTAAACCAGCTCCAAAATGGGGCATGTGCACACAGCTACACTTGCACAAATCAATCTTAAGTCACCTGGGGAGATTTTCACAGCACGGGACAGATGCCCTGGTCCCTGCAGGGCACCTGAGAATGGTGGCGATTTGGGGGACGGTCCTGTACTTTGCAAAAGCTCCTCCAGGAGTTCTGATGCAACCCCGCTGCCTGGGTTAAGGCTGCTTCCTTGGGGCAGCCTCCTATGTCACCTGGCCAAGAGGGAGGATTCTGTCTGGCTCTGGCTCCCTCTAAACCACAACTTGTAAAGCAACCAAGAGTCAAGCAGTGAAGAAACTACTATCTAAAGACTCAAAAGGCTTTGATCCCACAGAGAGTCCCGCCATCAAGGGGCCCCTAGACATAGAGATATACACACAGAGCTGCACCGCTGGCCCCTCCCACTATACAGGGCAGGCAGAGGCCAGCTGTCTCCATCCTTGGCGGGCAGCCGTGCCCTCACCAGTTTTGTTCCCTGCACTTTCCAGGAGGCACAGCGCTGGGCTCCATTAGAGTAATCGTTCTATTTGGGATCCTGAATTCCCAGGCGTATTTCAGGCTCTTCCCCACACCCACGGGATGCGCTTACTCTTGACGCTCTACGTCTAACCCTTGACCACCCATCCCTGGACGTTTACCTGTGTTCTCCCACTCCCTCGAGGTCCCGCACCTCTCACCTGTTCTCGCCAGGTGCAGGCGCTGCGGTCCCACAACCTCTGCGCTGGGGATCCATTTGGGTCTATGCCACGCTGGGCTTTGCAACAGCAGGCTGCGGCCCGCCAGCGGATGGCGGTCTCGGCCGCCATCGGAGAGGGGGCTCAACCCGCCAGACCCGACCCCTACCCGCGCCCCTAGCTCTGCCTTCCCCAGGAGTCAAGGGCGTCGCGGCCCGGCCGCCCTCGCCACTGCCCTCACCGTTCACCATGCTTCCGTCGCCTGCCCCGGGCCCGCAGGTGGCCACCCCTGCCTCGGCCTCGGAGGCCTCCTTGATGCCGTCGGGGTGGGCGCAGCCTGAGGAGAAGCCGCGCGAGCGCCGCTGTCGCCCGATGGCACGGGGAACCGGCGGCCGCAGACGCGGAGAGACGCCGGCGGCCAGCACCATGAACCTCCTGGCGGCCGCCATCGCGCTCCCGCCGGCCCCCGCGGGCCGGGGGCGGGCCCGGGACAGCGGGGCGGGAGCGGCGGCCCGCGCGCCCCCTGCCGGCCGGGCTGACCGGGGGCGGAGCCGAGCCCTCCGCGGCTGCGGGCCTGGCTCCCGCCTCTCGCAGTCCCGGGCCTCCCACTCCCCGGCTCCGGTCTAGCCGTGGGCCCCGGGCTCGGACCCTGCCGAAATCACTCCCACAGACTCGCCTTCGGAGTCTGCGGCTGGAAGAGGGAATGAGATTTTTGGGAAACGGTGCAGGCCTCGGCTCGACATTCCCCGGAGGAGAGGAAACCTCTCCCGAGCCGCCGCGGCAGGTTGGCTTGCCCTCCAGCCGCCAGAGTCGCACGACTGGGGCCCGCGCCTCACAGAGTGGCTTACGAAGTAAACCCGGGGAGAGCCCGGAGCCCGGACCGGGGGGACATCAGCGGTCCACACCTGTTCCCCAGGGCTGCAGTCAGAGGCGGAAAGTGCCCGGCTCCGGCACTGTGCCCGAAGCCGAGCGGGTCCAGCCAGAGTCTGAAGCCGCCCTCCCTCGCTCGTTTGAAAGCCAGATGGTATCCTGTTTCCAAGCTACTACACCTGGGTTCTGGCCAGGCTCAGGCCTCTCCGGCCGGTTCCGCGCTGAGCAGCCGGGTTTGGGTCGGCTGCGAATCAGGCTGAATGAAGCCGCAGGCCGGGCAGGGACCATGACAGCAAGGGGCCCTGGGGGCTTGGAAGGGCTTGGTCGGAGGTGGGCAGTGCAGTTGGGGGCACGCTGGCGGGGAGGGGTTTGTTTGTTTGTTTGTTGTTTTTTAATTCTGGATCTCACACTGGTGATCCCCTGGAGTGTTCGTTAAAACCTTGCTAGGAGCCACCCCCAGTTTTGTATTCATGAGGTCTGGAGTAGGGCCTGAAAACCTGCATTGTTAACAAGTTTCCAACACTGAGAGCTGCTGGCCCAGGGCAGGAACTGGGGATCTGAGTGCTAATACTTGGCCTCAGTGCCAGCCCGACCCCTCGGCAGCTGTGAACCTTGGGCAAGGTCATCAGCTGGGAACATCAGGACAAGCGTGCTCTGCTCATTTGGCCGGGCTGCGGTTGGGATAAAACGAGTGTCTGGGAGGCAGCTCTGCAGAGTGCTCTGTCAGAGAAGACCCTGCCCTCTGCGGGCCCAGACAAACAGGGACGGGTCTCTTGGAGCCAGACCCAGGGCAGGATGGGGCAGGTTCAACTCCAGCTCCTCCACTCCCTCCTCGCTGGGAGTTTGCTAGGAGAGGGGCAAGAGGAAAGGGCCTTGGCAGCGATGGTCTGCCCTCACGAGGGGACACCCCGTCTGGATCAAGCCCCCTACCCCGATCATCCACATTGGGAGGGCAAGACCCTTGGAGCACAACACGATTTTCCAGTGGCTTTGAATGTGGCCAAGCGGCATTTTTATTCGCCAAAAGCTGAAACGCCCACCCAACGTCAATAGTCTTTAAGGGTCATTAGCAGCCCAAGTTCCCTCAGAAGAATCCAGCTTACCAAGTCTGCTTGTGGCAGCAGGGGCTGGAGGCAAACTTGGGAAACTGTGGTGCCTGAAAGCTGAAGGAGACAACGGCCTAGACACGAGAGCCCACCTGGGAGGCGGGGCCAGGGCCCACCCGGCGCTCCAGGAAGCCCCTCGTGCGGCGCTCCAGGAAGCCCCTCGTGTGGCGCTCCAGGAAGCCCCTCGTGCGGCGCTCCACTCCGCCAGCCACCTGGCAGCCGCGGCAGGAACGCTGTGGCTGCACGGATCTGCTTCCGAGGGGAAGCAGACTCCAAGGTGGAGGGCCTGGCCACGAGTTGTTCATCGTTCAAGCTGGGCAACAGGTATGTGGGGCTCGTTATGCTATTGTCTCGGTTTCAGAAAACATTTCAAACAGATGTTTGAAATTTTATTTTTTAAAGAAAGCACCGACCAACTAGCTGGTTCCCAGGGAGCTCCCTGTCCCCTCTTCCTGTTTCACTTGCTTCACCTGGGCTCTCACTGGTGTCGCCTTCAGCAAAGACCTCACCTCTACAAACCTCACTGCCTCTTCTAGGAAGAGGGCAGCTCTTAGACCAGCTCTGGGAAGCCTTCTGGTTCTGTGATCTCCTCCCCCTTGGTCTAGGGCAGGGTTCCTGACCATAGCCTGAGGACCGAATCCGCCCAGTGGGTGCTTATGAATGAAGTTTCACTGGTGCACAGCGGTGCACATTTTCTTACATATATTGTCCATTACCAGGGCCCTGCTATGACGGCAGAGGTACGTCGCTGCGAGAGAAACCACATGGCTTGCAAAGCCTAGAACATCTCCTCTCTGACCCTCACGGCAAGGTTTCTGGCTCCTGCTTTGGGACATTAAAGAAAGGGAGGACCTGGCACGCCCCGCCCCTCCTTCCCACCAGCAGTGAGTCTCCCCTGCACGCTCCACTCCCTGGGGAGCGAGCACTGGCACCTCTGCCTGCGGAAAAGAAGGGAAGTTCTGAAAAAAGACAGGGCTTCTGGCTCAGAGATCTTTCCACTCACTTCTAGATCAAGCGTATCATCTGGTACTAAATGCGCCAGCAGCATGGAAGTAAGGTGCGCAGGTTCTGCTGCATGCACAGGGGGAGGAGGATGTCCTAGGACCCTGAACTCTGGAGGGCCCAGTTAAAGACAGGAGGAAGCTCAAATGAGGCCAGAGTTTGAGCAGACCAGTGCACTTCTAGAGGGGACGTGAGAGGGACCACCGACACCTGAAGAAACCGGGGGTCCTGGCCAACGTCCACCACCTGACTCAGCCAGAGTTAGCTATTTTACGGACGGTCAAACTGGAATGACAAGGTCTACCTGCTGGGCCACGAGAAAGGTAAGGGGCACTCTAGGGGCCGGGTGGCCACCCTGAACACCCTACCCATCCTTACAGCTGCCCGGTCACCTACGTGAGTCACATGGTCCCTGGAGGGAAGCCACCACACCAAGAGGAGGGGGCACGGCTGTAGGACAGCGGACAGGACAGCCGTCCTGCAACCCCCAGGATCCTTCCGGGAGCGTCAGCCAAGCTGCTCTCTAGGGCTCTGCGTCTCGGATCCGGGTGGGTGGGGCACGCCCCCCGGGGGAGGCTTAGAGGAACGTGTTTCCGTTTATTCACCCTTTGCCTCGGAAAGAGGCTTTGGCCGGAGGCTGGCAGTGGATTCGGGGGTAGACCGGGGAAGACGGTGGCGGGGTTTCCCAGCTCCAAACCTGACTCTGACGGGCACTGGCGCCTGTTCCAGGGGCCGCGACTTTCTGAGCACTGTGTTCCTGTTCGAGCCAGAGAGGCTGTTTCTGCCGCGTGCCTCCTCCCTAAGGGAAGGGCATCGGCGAAGCCTCCAGGGAATCAGAGCACACGGCAGGAAGGTGCCACGGTCACGTGCGGACCAGGGAGCTCGCTGCTCTGTGCCCGACTCCGGAGACAGTCAGAGGGAGGGGACGCAGAGACGCACACACCCACGGGCGCCTTCCGGGGGCGCGGCTGTGCGGAGACAGTCGGGCTCGGGGTCTATGCTCCTGGGGGAGACAGTGTGGGGCCTGCCAAGCCGTCCCACGGGGAGCAGCTGCCCCTCCCCGGGGCAGCGACCTTCCCCCCTGCTGTGCGCGAGGAGGCGCAGCCTAACCCATGCGGCCTGGCTGGTCCCCACTAACCAGCTCGAAGCTTAGCCAAAGCGTGTCTGACGCTCTCAGAGCCACTCACCTGCCATGTTGGAAATGTTAACGTTCAGCCTTTTGGAGTTACAGGGCATTTTAAGAAAGAAAAAAAAAAAAGGGCAATCAACTCTTGTTTTGGCAACAGGAGGGGGTGGCATTTCTTCACTACCTAAGTCAAAGGGTCAGAGGGGCCGGAAGTCCTTATCTCTCTCCTGCCGTCGGTGGCCAGGGTCCCAGCAGCAGGGCGGTGCGCGTGCAAACGGCTCAGGGGCCCAGGTGCTCCGAGCTCCTGCACCCTTCCTGAGCTCTTGACCTTCAAAGCACTTTACAGACAGAGCGGGAAGGGGACATGCGGCCCCCGAGAGACAAAGACTCCATGACCTGACATGGGGTTCTTCCACTGGGCAGCTGGGGAGCGGTGCGGACAGGCACCGATGGGGCAGAGCAGGGCGGCTGTCGGGAGGAGAAAGAGGCCACGGGGGCACTGGTCTCAGCAGACCCGGAAGAGAGCTAAGGCCGAGGCGAGGAAGGAGATGCTGACCGGCAGAGGTGCCTCCCTGGTCCTACTGCTAGGCCTGTACCTAGGTGTCAGTGGCACCTGAGGTGAGCTGTCACCTGTCTGGGGACTCTTGACATTCTCCCCCATCAAACGGTGAACCTACCTTGCCAAACGGACTGAGGGGCACATTTTCAGGTCAGCAAAGTGCTTTGAGGGGCTGGAGAAATTGGGGAAATGCTTTCCCGGGTGGCCCCAAGGCCTCCAAGGTGGAGGGCACTGGGCCAGGTCAGGTTCTCTGGTCTGGCCCTGGCGGGAGTGCCCAGCACCTTTTGAGCCGCCCGAGCCAGGGACTGCCTAGAAGATCCAGACCCTACAGATTCTCCACACCGGTGCTCCACATCCAGACTGCGCCTAAGCCTCCTTCTGGCCACACGGAGAGGCCCGATGAGGCCGCAGAGTCCAGGGGTGTCCAACCCGCGGCCCACGGGCCGCATGGCGCCCAGGATGACTATGCATGAGGCCCAACACAAAATCGTAAATTTACTTAAAGCCTTTTTTTTGGCTCATCAGTTTTCGTTACTGTTTGTGTATTTAATGTGTGGCCCAAGACAACTCTTCTTCTTCCAGTGCGTCCCGGACACACCAAAAGGTCGGACACCCCTGGAAGCCATGTGGCCAAGGATGGTGAAGTAGCCCAAACCTTTCCAGGTGACCTCACCCCAAGGGCTCCAACTGCTCCGCTGACCCCACCCCCGCTCACTCACTGTCCAGAGGCTCGTGGCCCTGGCGCCCAGGCTGCCCCTGCTGCCCGCCTCCCCACAGACCCTGGACGGAGCGGGTGCCGGAGGCCAGGCTCCTCCCTTACCTCGAGAGATGGTCCCTCCGGGGGCAGGGTTGACGCACATGGGCGGAAGGCGGGGCGGGGGGAGTTTGCACTGACGCTGCCTGTGCTGGGCCCGGTCTGGGGAGAGAGAGAGGGCGTCAGGGTGGCGGGTCACGGACGGACTGGCCCCGGAGCACCTGGGAGGGGCCGCAGGCGCCGGGGTTGCCGGGCGGTATCTGCAGCCTGCCCCAGGTTCTGGGACAGCACTGTGCCACCAACACCACGGGAGAGAAGGCGCCTGTCTGTTATGGACGTGGCGCGTGACGGCCTTGCAGAGGTCCCTCCTGGGCTCTGAAAACAGCCCTCCAGCTCTCCCGGTTCCCTCGGCCAGCGCCCAGGAGTCTAATGATGCCCATCCCGGGTACTCCTCTCCAGGCCGGAGCTGTGAGGGCAGCGCAGGGCTGCAGCTGGGAACCAGGAAGCCACGGTGTCCAGGTAAATCCTCGGTTCTCCCACTTGCTGCCCTGCTGTGGTGGCTGCCTCTGAACCTGCCGAGGTGCTCCAGAGAGCCTCATCGGCCACCAGACTGCAAACTCCCTTTCCCTCCCGGAACTGGGCAGGAGGGGCCGACTGACCACGGTGGGGGGGGGGGGCCCTCTGACAGCCTGACGGGGCCTGCGCTCACGAGCCGCCCCCCTCGTTCCGCAAGCCAACGGCCTTCGGTCCCAATGTCTCTGCTCCCTTGGAGACTGAACTCTGCTTACCAGGAGACCTTCACGGTACATCTTAACAAGTTCCAAATATTTGGTACAAGTGGACTAAAATTAAGACCCCCGCTGAGCCTTCCACAGGTAAGAAGCGCTGGAGGCTGTTAACCCCCTGCAGTGAGTGAGAGCATGGAGACGCAGCGGTCTGGGGGAGAGATGCGGGAGGAGCTCCACTGGCTGAGGTTCAACACCAGGTGGGGGAGGAGCAGGGGCACCCCACGCCCCCGCGCAGCAGCCCGCTCCACTGCGGGGATGCCCATCCCTCCAATGCGGATCGCCCCCTCTCCCGGCGGCCCCCTGGGGATGCAATCAGCAAAACGTAAAAACCCTCGGTGCGAGGGCAGTTTTTCGGGGACAAGGGCACTGAAAGAGCTGGAGCGGAACTCTAATTTTCACCAGGAGACGTAAAAGCCCTTTCAGCCGTATCTTTCCAAAACTAAAGGGAAGCGTCTGTCGAGAACCGAGGTGGTAGATACAGGGGTGTTCACTATGCAACTTTCTCAACGTTTCAGTGTTTTTGAAATCTTTCATAATAAAATGGGGAAAGAGCACATCATTGCACTCTGGTCCTCCCCGCCCCAGGCTCCCCCCAGCAGGGCCGCAGGGCCACTCCCTGGGGACGCAGCCAGTGGGCTCAGAGCCCCGCCTCCGCCCGCATCGCCCTGGCGGCTGCCAGCGCTGCTCCGGCAGGTGCTCGTAGGGCGCTCTCTGCACACTGTCGGCGGCCACGGGGCTGCCGCCTCGGTGGTCCGAGCACCCGTCCCAGGCACCGGTGACCACTGTCGTCCCTCACTGGTCCTAAAGGTGTGGTTGCCGCGCCTCAATTCCACTCCCCCCACAGGCCCTGTCAGGACACTGCAGGGTGGGACTGTGCAGAGAACACACCCAGCGTCACGTCACGGCGGATGGCCTGCCTGTCGGGTCTCCGGAGCAACGTGCCCAGGACCCAGGTTCATCTGGGAACTGATCCAGCTCTGCCCGAAGCTGAGGTCGGAGAGGACCAGCCCGACCTCTCCGCGCCTGTCTGAAGAGCGCCCTTACTCACAGCCAGGGACGCTGGGTGAAGACAAGAGGAAGGAACGGTTTGATGGTCAATGATCGTCTCATCGAGCATCTGCAGTAACTGGGCCATGCTGCCATAATCCCACAACGCCGTCACTGAGCCCTGCTCTGACCACTGCTGATCCGGTGTTCTTCAGTTCTGTGCCACCTTTCACAGACTCACTCGCTCTTTGCTCCCTGACTCTGATGCTGGCAAAGGCAGGAACAGGTCACTTTCCAGGCATGTAAGCGCTCTAGTTGGGAGGTGTTGGCAGCTCGGAGAAATTACATAATCGGAGAGGCAGTGGCCAGAAGGAATTGCTACTGGCCGTCGCCACCGGAGCATCAGAGGGCCCGGCCCGCCGCGCCCGCACCAGGAAGCATCTCTGGAGCACGGCCGTCTCCGCCCCAGGGCCCGCGTGCGGCAGACGCTCGGCCGCACGGCCGCTCGGCACACTGCGCGCCGAGGCCAGGCTGTCGCTCGCCGGCAAAGCGTCGGCTACAGTCTGCACCGGAAATACACCCAACTGCTCATGTTCACCAAGCACCTGCCGACCCAAGCCCCGGGGCTGGGGACGGACCGCAGCCCAGAGCTTCTCCCCCATCGTCTCTGATCTTCACTCCGCCTCCGAAGATGGGGGCTGGGGAACGGGATCGGATAAAGGCGACACCGTTCTAGGGGGGACCAGAGTGGAGCCCCGGCCAGTCTGACGGGGGAGCCCCCAGGCCCACACTTCTCAAGGCTCGTGACACCGCAGGGAGCTCACACTCCCATCACGAGGAACAAAGAAACATAAAAACTCCCTAAGGGATAAAGAAGAGTCCTATATAACAATGACAGTGTCACAAACTGGCAAGGTCATGATGCAGACCACAAGTGACATCAGCATTCGGAAGACAAGGGGGGCATTCAGCCTTACAGTCAGGTAACCCCGAAAAGACGGCTTTGCCTGAAGCAAAACACTCAAGGCGGTGCCTCTTCGACATTACCGGTTTTCCCCGAGACCCCGAAGCACGAAATGGCCCATGGCGCGCACCCAGCACTTCCCCGCTCGGAAAGCGAGGCCCCGGACCAGACGGGTCCGAGTCCCGAAGCCACTGAGCTGCTGACACAGACCGCGAGGGCGCCGGGCACCAGGCTCCGCTCTGCGCTCTTCACACGCGTCAGCTCCTCTGCGCCGCGGAGCCACCCTGTGCTGTGGCCCGCGTGTGTCGCCGGCACCCGGGTCCGCAGCCTTCGCCCGGCGAGGCCTCAGCCAGTACCCTCTCCCTCTCGTGCCCGAGCTACGTGACCGGGACAAAGGGGGACCGTGGCTTCGCTGGGCCTCCGTCTCTACAAAGTCAGCACCCCGAGTCAGAGCCGCCCCCGCCGGAGGGACCCTGTTTCTCTTCAGCGTCTACGATGCGGACAGCAAAGCGCGCTGACCAGCAGGTGAACGGGGCGATGCAGTTGTGCTCAGTGTTCAGGTCACAGTGTGCTGTCCACACTGGTCTCAGTGCAGCGCTCCCTTTCTCAGCCAGCCAGCCAGCCCACGGAACCGAGGTGACAGGGACGAGTTCCTCCACGCAACGTGAGCGCAGATGGCGCGGCTGCAGACAGACGAGGAGGCGGGAGGAGGCGCTGCGGACGCTGCTGTGGACGCCCAGACCTGCCCCGGCCCCGCTCAGTGGCTCAGTGGCTACGCAGGGGCTTTCCCTTGGCCGGGGTTTCCCAGGCCTCTAGGGACGCAACTCGGAGAGGGGACTCTACTGCGCGGATCTCTTTTGAATAGAGTTAGTCAGTCAGCGGGTCTCTCATGGTTCTCATTTGTTTGTAAAATATGCTCAGACGGGAGCCGCACGATCAGCTTCAATATGGGCAACTGGGCCTTTACTCTTTATCCCCTTAAAGGAGAAAAGTCACCTGACTGTCGAAGACAGCCAACGCCCTCGGGGACGCGGCCCTAGCGGTCCTGGCCAGCTACACGGCTCCCCGCACCAGCTCCTGCAGACGACCTGCAGCCCCGCCAGGGCCCAGCTCTGCCGTTGCCGGTGCAGCCCTCCTCGCCGCTGCTGGTGGGCGCTGGCTGCGAGACCCGCCGCAGCTTCTGCGACCAGCAGCAGAACGGTGACCCGGCCCGCTCCCGCCAGCGTTCACCGAGGCCTGCCCACCGCGTGCAGCGTGCCGTGCCAGGCACTGCGGACGGTAAAACACGCCCAACAGGCCCCGGCTGCAGGGGGCTGCCGACCTAGGGGTGCAATGTTTGCTTCGGGGTAGACTAAGCCCGAGAAAGCACAGGTACGTGCTGAGGAGAGTCTGAGAGAGGAGAGAGGCTGCACTTGTTTGACAGACTCGGGAGATGTGCGTGGAAGACGTGGTATGAAGTACGGGCCCAGGGAGACTGGCGGGGTTTCGACAAGCAGGGACTACGTGGAAGGGGGCGTCCCGGAGGGAGGGAGGGAGGGGTGGCAAATGCCCACCAAGGCCGAGGCAAGGGATGGCGGGGGTCACGGGCACCGTGCGGGAGGGGGGCGAGGGAGAACTCCGGAGAGAAGCGCCCCGGGGCCGCCGCCGCCGCCCTGGCGAGGGGTTTTCACAGCCTTCACAGCCGCCCGGCCCGGGGAGGAAGGGCGTGAGGGCACAAGCCCCGTGACGTTCTTACCTTTTCTGAATGAGTCCAGGCTGAACATTTCTGGCCAGGAAGGAGAGCTGGAACCCTGAAAAGCATGGCCAAGGGGCAGTGGTTAGTAATATCCCCGCTCCGGGAGGCCACGGGGAAGACTTCAGGAACACAGCGCTGTCCACGGGATGAGAAAAACGAAGCCTTCACTCAAGAGCCCCAGCTGCCACCCCCCCCCTTAAGGATGGGAGGGCCGTGTCCACCCCAGCATGATTATGACTCAGTTTCTTTCTGACTGACAGCTGTATTCTTGTCTCTGTCCTAAACGCCCTGGACCCCGCTCAGCAGCCGGCAGTGCGTCTCATCACCAGAGGCCTAGGTTTTCCCCCTCATCAGAATACACGCCGTTCTCCCGGGACTCCCAGGAGGAAGTGAGATTCCACACGGACCCCCTCCTCATGTGGCATCAGGAAACGGGACTGGTGACTACCTTGAGGACAAACTGGTTTACTGGGCTTTCACAAACTCTAGGAATGGGATGTGACGGACAGTATCAGAGAGTAACTGTGGCTCTGACTGGTGTGGCTCAGTGGATTGAGTGCCAGCCTGCGAACCAAAGGGTCGCCGGTTCGATTCCTGGTCAGGGCACATGCCTGGGTTGCGGGCCAGGTCCCCAGTAGGGGGCACGTGAGACACAACCGATCAACATCTCTTGTACTAATGTTTCTCCTCCTCTTTCTCCCTCCCTTCCCCTCTCTCTAAAATAAATAAAATCTTTTTTAAAGAAGAGTAATTGTGTAGTGATTAAAAATAGAAAGCTTTTCACGGAGAAGTCTCTATGAGATGACAAATGATAAGTTAAAAGTTCAACTGTTGGCAAAACACTTTGTTGCATTTTGCTCATGAGCACCCTTGACGGAGGAATCTACCTAGAGAACAAATAAGTAACACCTCTAGTTTAATAATTTTGTTTAAAAAAAAAAACACTCGGACTCAGCATCATAGTTGTTTTTAGGAACGCGGTATTCTTGGGTTGGTGCAGCTCCACCACCGGCCTCGGTTCAGAAACGCCTACACAACGCGTCAGCTCGTCAGGATGGCGTGAGCGTTCCCAGGAGTCGACGGGCGCCTGCGCTCCCGCTCCTGACTGCTGTTCTCCCTTTTCTCAAATGATGGGGCCTTGGTGGGGGGGGGGGCTGACCCGGGGCAAACCTCCTCTCCCCCAGAGATGCCGGAAATTTCAGCCAATAGAGAGAAAACTTCAATACCGTATCAACAATGATTCCATTTTCTTTAGGGACTTACATTCCACAGATTCCTTCTATCCACAGTAAAAGAAAAAAAAAGTGCAACTTGAGATTCTAATTTTAAAGAAAACCTAGGTGCTATAAAATCTAAAACAGCTATGTGATTATTTAAGAAACAATACTTTCGTGCTAAGAAATTTAATTTGCTGGTAACTACACTCTTGGTGTTGCTTTTTAAAAGCCCCGGTCCTCTCTGCACCAACCCTAACTCAGAGGTGAGGCTCCCTTTTCCTGTGTTGGTCTAAGAAGACACAGCACGACATTCACGACAGGATCTTTCAGAGACATTTTACAGAGCTCTGGAACACTGGACACAGATCGAAAAGACGGCTGCCTTCCTTGTCAGAAAACTTTATGGCTCAGGATTGCTCTTTAATAACTGGGATAAGCAAAATAACATTACGTCGAGTTTTCCTGCATAATGAACCACTACTTAACTCCAGGCAGAGTCACTGTGGGCTCCACAATGACTAATTAAAAACGAGACCCTCGCCCTGGCTAATGTAGCCCAGTGGATTGAGTGTGGGCCTGCGAACCAAAGGGTTGCTGGTTTGATTCCCAGTCAGGGCACATGCCTGGGTTGTGGGCCAGGTCCCCAATGGGGAACGTGCAAGAGGCAACCACACGTTAATATTTCTCTCCCTCTCTTTCTTCCTCCCTCCCCATTCTCTAAAAATAAATAACTAAAATCTTAAAAACAAAACAAAAAAAACAAGATCTTTTCTAAGAGGGTCACAAAGGAATGTCACACATGCCTTTCACTTTACAGCGCGGCTGAGCATGAAATCCAGTGCTGCTCTGTGTGCGTGGTGGCCACAGCAACTTACCTTACAAGAGCAGAGGAAGTCTCAGGCTTTGCAGGCTTTTGAACTGGAGCTGAATTCTCTCCTTGCTACTCCTCATCACGAGGCTGGGCCTCCTCCTGGGAAGTACAATGCTGGGTCACTAAAGAGATGGCCCCCTCGGGGAAAGAAAGTTGCTCCGGATCATTGAAATTTCATTTACTAACTCTGACAACAAGGGCAAGTTTTGTTAGTGGCATGAAACACACATAGTGGACTCACTGGCCTCACTTCAGGACCTGCCTCAACGGACCTACTCTAGGCCCATCAAACTGCCAGCTGCCCTGTGTCAGCACCTGTAAGGTACCAAGGAAGAGATCTCTTGGTCGAGGGGCTTGGAGTTCTGAAAGCGTTTGTTCCAAGCCCAGTTCTGCCCCCAACATGACTCAGATTCCTCTGTCTAAGGCAGATAAAGCAGCTCTTCCAGTTTGGGAAAACTAGATGTGGAAACACCATTTTCACAGTTTACAAAGGAATTCTATAGATGTTAATCTCACTTATCTATGCAACTATCCAGTGAGGCAGGAATTCCTTCCCAGAGGCTACACAACTTGCCCAAGATCCCACGGCTGCCTCAGGGCAGAATGTAAATCTGCAGGTTAGGGACTGAGCTCCAAAGCTCTCAGGGACTATGCCCACACTGCTTCTCTAATCCCCACAGTGTGATATCCACAGCTGCTGCTGCCCAGATGTACCGGGGGTCAGTCCTTGAAATAACAAAATTGATGGTAACATCTTCAAAAGTTGGAAGGGGCAAGAAGTGTCCAACTGACAAACACATGGAGAGTAAATATCTCTTGGCGGTAATGGGATACCCCATACAGGTAGAAAAAAAATGCAGCAAAGAATGTATTTGCTGCAGCTTAAACACCTACAAAAATAAAGAGCACTATCCTAAATCCTAAAAACTATGTCAAGAAGAGTCCTCTTTCTTGAAAACTCCAAAACTCCAAGCTGTAAGCGTAAATTATAAGATGTGGTCAACACCCACAATGACAGTGGCATAGTGGGATTGCTGCCTTCCAAGAAACTGCAAAGGAAACCATAGCACGATGTCTCATTTCACTCTGGCCAGTAAGTTGCAACCAAAACCAGGTTGAGAGTCTGCAAGTGGCCATCTGCGGTCCACCTGCTACAGTGTATGGCAAGCCCCTGTAGACTGGGGGTGCAAAGTGGGACAACCTCTGCCTTGCACAGTCACAATTAAGGTGATGAATGCTGTTACAAGAGGACTAGCTAAACAGCTTGCTGACGCCACGCTCCTGGCTTGGGGGTTCTGAGGACCCCTGGTACTCCAGTTCACTGCAAACAAAGAACCCAACATGCATGAGGTCTTCCCCTGCGAAATGGGACAAGGCACCACCAGCAAACAAAGAACACCTCACCCCTTGGCCTCCCCCAGTGACAGGGTCGGTGCAAAAGGGAGCAAACCAGGGGGGGCAAATTGCACCAGGCCTCCCTTTGGACGAACGGTCCAGGCCGCACGGGGGGCAGACAAAGGTCCCAGGGCACTCCAGTAGCTTTCTCCAGGCCCTGCCTCGGGAAACGGAGCATCCCCAGAGGCGGAGGCGTCGTTGCGCCAATGAAGCGGCCTCTCCCGCGGCCCCCGCAGAGCCCCTGGCTACCAAGCTGGCCCCAGCGGACTTGTCTGGCCCCCGCCCCCGCCCCGGCTCCATGGCAACGGCAGGCCGAGGCCTGGCTGCCCACGGCTCGGCCCGGCCGGCTTCCCGGGCAGGCCTAGGATGCCCGGCCTGCTCCTCGGGCCCGCCCGCTTCTCCGCCCCACTCTCCACCAAGCCAGCGGTCGGACTCGGACCCCTCCTCGCGCCGATCACCCCCAGCCGCGGCAACCTCCTCAAGGGGGCACGAAAGGGGAGAATAAAAAGCCCAATTCACCTGTTGTTACAGATGTGAAACAAGCCTCGGTGCACCGCGCATGAGCCGCGGCCCCCCCAACCACGGCCGAACTACAACTCCCACCAGCAGTGGGGCGGCCACTTCCGGGTCCTGGGGCGGAAGTCCCGCCTGCCGCTCCAGCTCTCTTCGCTCCTCGCCGCTGACCCCGCCTCGCGCGCTCGACCCTGGGTCTCCGCGGACTCGAGCGGGTACCCTTCTAGGGCTCGCAGTGGTCGCCTGAGGCTCACGCAGGAGAGCGGCCAACCCGCGGCGGTACCCAGTGCCGGGCCCAATGGGGAACGGCCGGGCGGGCGTAGGCGGGACTTCCGGCAGGGTTGCAAAGGAGTGGGCGTGCGAGTGTCTGTGGAGTCTTGCGGGGCTGCACTGGGCTGTGCCTCTTGCAGCGTCCAGCGCAGTGAGAACGGGTGGAGGCTTTGGCCCCGCGCCGCCGGTTGCGCGTGAGCAAACAGGCCGGCCCAGGGCTGAGCCGGGGACGAAATCCAACTCGGGCTCCGGGTTTCCATCCGCCTTCCCCTCCACAGCTCGTGGGCACGCCTCTTTGGCTCCGTATCCCCTCCGATCTTGTGTTTCTGTAGGGAGGTGAGAACTGCCTCACGAGATTGTTGGGAGGATGAAATCGACGTGCTGGCGCGTCGTAAATGGACAACACCAGGGAAAGGACTGGGAGGCACTTGCTGGTCGCGGGGAGACCGCGGGTCCGAGTGCCGCTGGGCGGCCCTGGAGGTCCCGCCCCCGGTCCCCGCTGGGAGCTGCGGTCCTTGAGACTCGGCCGCCGTGTGAGTTCAGTGGAACCCGGCTTCCGAGGCGGGAAGTCGGTGTGGGTAGCTGTGGAGCTGCGTCAGGAAAGACCTAGAATGTGCTTTTAAAAGACAGCCGTTCATGGTAGATGGGAAGAATCAGTGCCACATCCCGTCCTTTTTGCCCAAAGAAAATTCAACAAGTCTTTTTTATTTCCTTTGTACTCGGGCAG